AACATGCTCTGAAGTGGAAACGATAAACTGATCAACCACATGATGTCACCATGAAAAGAAAACGTATTTAGTTGAACATATTTCTAACAAAACAACAAATACTATTTTATTTTTAATTGGTTCTTACAAAAAAGATTTTAAAAATGATCTTGGTTCTTAAATGTTTTAATAGTTGGTTGTTAGGTTTTTATTTTATTATTGAGTAATTTGAAAATCTTTAGAGCCCATTACTCAAAGAACAGCTTCTTTGAAATCCTGTCTTTACCTTGTCTTTTGAACAGTTACTTACAATGTAACAGCTTCTTTGAAATCCTGTCTTTATCTTGTCTTTTGAACCGTTACTTACAATGTGTTTTTTAAACTTATAATTGTTTCAGCATTTGGAGAGTGTTTAATACATTTACAAGTGAAGTAGAACAATTATGTTCTACTTGAAATGACGAACATGAAATGACGTTCATTCCAAGAGGTGCGACATTTTGCAAATCCGATATAAGCGGCAGAAGTTACTCAATTTAAGATACAGAAAAAAAAAACAAGACAATATAAACCAGATTATTTTAACTTTTTGAAAGAGAAACACGATTTAAGTTTGTAGTAAAAAAAAGTGATAACTATACGTTAAATACAATGTTATAGTCCCTTGTGTTTCACTGAAGAAATACGACCACAACAACCACAACAACAACAACAACAACAACCGCAACAAACAGCCCAAATACAGATGTTCCCAATTAGAAATAACTGAAAATGTTGTAACTTTTTCAGTTATCTGACCCGATGAAAGGACAGTTCCATTACCAACCAGAAAGTCTGGGCCTGAAGCCTTTTGCTACATGCCCATGTGTCCTTGTTGAAATAGCCCCTCAGCCGCCCCTGGTGGTCATGCGATTCTAAGTACATGAGCATGTGGGACACTGAAAATTAAAATCCTACACTAAAATAAATATTTGAAGGATAAGTACCCAGTAAATATACAAGATTATTTTGGCCACTGCTGATGGCAGAAACACAATATTACAATATCATATTTTTCGTTCAACCCTTCAGAACAGGGTTAGTCGAAGAAAAGTCTTAAGGACCACAAAGACATTTGTCATCGGTTTGGGTTGAGGACATCAGTGGAGTTGGTGACGCAACGTAACTGGTGAAGGCACGAGCCATAATACTGTCACATTCAAAACAAACTGTCATCCTCTGTACTCAAATGAAAGGAAACGCCAGAGTTCATTCAGAAACGATCATAAAAACAAAACATTAATTTTTTTATAACAATCCATCTCTACTGTTGACACGGAGACGACAGCCTGGTCACATGAGCAGAGCAAACCAAAACACACACTGTGAAGGAAAGGAAAACAGCCTCCTTTCACATGATCGACTTGTGGTACGCCAATATGAAGGTCGCAGGCCAGATGCAGAACACGGACCTCGGTTTTATGGCCCGTATTCACTCCTAAGTGAACTGTAGGGATATTAAAAAGGAGGGCATTTTTAATATTCCCATGATTGGAGAGCCATGCTTAACTTACTGCGTGATGCGTAATAGACGTGGAGTAATTCAAACAATATATTTTTGTCTGTTAATCGATTTTTCCGTATTCTTCACATTACACTGAGGCCACGTAATCATGAAGGCGCTGAAAACTATTATAGCAGTAGTGTTGTGTTGCTGCTTTGAACCAGATGTTGGGTTTATGTGGCCTCAGACACAGTGCAACAATAAACTGAGTAGTATATTATTATCCCCCAGATCAGCTGTCAGTCCACATTCACATTCACTTTAGAGTGACAACACTGGTGTATTTAAATCCCCCAGATCAACTGTCAGTCCACATTCACATTCACTTTAGTGCAACTTATCGGAAGATAAGCCCATCATTCATCAGCAGCAAAAAAGGGAAAAACTCAATCGTAAAACATCCGGTGTATTTGTGATGTACACAATTACAATTGATATAAAATTATATTATTTTTAGTGAAAGATTTCTATATACATAAAGAAACTAGACACTTTGAGACTTTTGAGTTTAAATACCTGAAAATGTTGAACAGTTAAACATAGCACAGAGCTCCCTTTTTGTGTTGCCGTACACCTCTAACAACAAAGGTGAGTCAAGTATTCTATTCTTTACTGGTTTACATTTTCCACCTAGTAATGTGCCGGTTAATGAACACAACAACATGTACTTTCGATGACTTATAAAATGACTTATTATGATAAATTTGATACACTATAATGGTTTAGAGCTAATTCCGGCACACTTCATCTTTGACCACACACGTCCACCATGGGGGAAAAAAAAAAGAGACAGATCACGACAGCTTGCAAATTAACACTGCTATCTCAAATTTTTCATTTTAGTTTTTTGGTGATGAAAAGAAACAATGTCGTCTCAAAGAGGTTATATTCAACATTTCCACTGAGCTCCTGGTATTGATGGATATTTCATCACCTCTCTGAATGTGAAGTGCGCAGAGACGCACTAAATCATTTGCTCACATTCCTTAACAGCAGAAAGGAGCGCGTTCCAACAATTATACGGCACCACACTCTGGGCTCTGCGCTTTACAAGGTTGTGTTTTCAATCCAGCAAGTGTCCAGTCGTTTCTTCACATGTGCTTTTGATTGAGCGTAATGACTCTACCCTACCTTTGTTTGGATAAGGTTTCTATTCGCTGAAATGCTGGATGGCGTTTTATCTCCACAGATGCTAAAAGGCTACAACGCAGGGTGAGCGGAGACTTCAGGTCTCCATGGAAAGAAAAGGGTCGATAGAGAGAGAGAGAAAGTGAAAAAAACACACACACACACACACACACACACATCTCCAGCTCCAGGCCACCCACAGGCTCTGGAGTCTCCACTAAGAAACCTGCTAATGAGAGAGTGACTGTCACTGGCTCGGCACTTTCCAGTGTGTGTCAGCAGAAAATATAACTTGTGCAGTTCACACAGACAGGTTTGACTGTCCATGAAGTTGCCAGCTAAGTTAATATGCTAAATGATTCAGGGAAGGCTTTGATTTTGTGCCTGCATTGGCACCATGCAAATCATAAATGCAATTTAGGTTTTGTATGGCTCATATCATTTACTGTGGCGGAGAAGAAAAGTGTTCGAGCAGGCAGACACATGACTTCATCACTCACACCGATTCACATTTCAAGCTGCATAAAAGGTACACTATGTACTCACTGATACACGTGTGTGTTTATATATATATTATATGTATATTTCTTTATATGTCGACGACAACCAAAGAAGTGTCTCAGATTAAAACAAAATTATCTTAACAGAATCACCCTTTTTATATTTTAAAATCCAAAGAAACCTCTTTCAGTTGACTTTCATAGTTCTGACCTGAATGCACAACAATATTTAGGCAGTCCTCTTTCAGCAGGCGACAGTGAATGCAACACTGACGTCATCCTGCCCATACATCCTCAGCCTGTAGGATGACTGAGCCTACACCTGATGCCGTCTGTCTTTGGAATGTAGCTGGAACGAACTCACAGAGACACAAAGACAACATCTACCATGGCTCAAACTGCACAGCGAGGGTAGAGTTAAGGTGGGAATTTCAGTAGTAAGTCCTTGTTTCCCAAAAGACTGGGTCGCAACCCTCAGGTGGGTCACAAGATTTTTTTTTTGGGTCATCTCGCATCATGTTTCCAAGGAGTTTACGAATAATGTCTATTGACTTGGGTCAAGAAGGTTTGTGACTTTTAAAATACGGGTCCCCAGAAAAAAAGTTTGGGAAACTGTCTAAATGTAAGTGACTAAATTCCAAAAGTGATGATTAATGTTTGGTCTTGCACCTAACCAAAAGTCCTCTCCTAATAAAGTGTGTAATCCTCTCTTTTTTTAATGACGAAAACTATATTTGGTGTTTTCACAACCTGCCTGTTTCCAGAAGGACATGGTGAGAACCAGCTTCAGTGGAGGACAAAACATTCCATCTTTGACAGTTAGGGATGCCGAGCAAAAAGAATGCCAGCGGTTGTTCCAAACCTTAGGCATTTCCTTTCCTTTGCTCTCTGTATTTGTATTTATTGATTTTTTTTTGTTTTTACAGTTGTGAAGATGGAGTTTATAAACTCCCTCTGTTCAGCGAAAGGTTAGAAGGACACAACCCTGCCGCTGCACATTTAACCATCTGCTCATGGCTTCCACACAGACCCTTCATCTGGACAATAAGCAGGACATCCAAATAATAGATCCAATTACTTCATGCACAGGCTATGAATCAGACATGTGCTCAAACAATTTTGTCTCTTCTCAGGCCTCACATCTGCATCACAGCCTACACTGGTGTGTAATGTGTCTGTGCACACAGTGTATCGAACCTTGTGTTTCTATGGAAAGTATAGTGTTATATTGATTTAATACATGAGTGTGATAAAAGGACTTTCATCACAGCCATAAATCCAAGAACACCTGTGCGTTAAGATTAGACAGACTCCAGACCTTTCAATAAATATATAACAGCTTTCACACCTGTCTGACCTTTTTGTCACTTCTTCAACTCAACAACATCTGTTTTGGCTTTTTTAAGCAGCGCTTGTGCCAAAAAGTGACAGAGAGAAGGTCTTTGTTAGTACTGTATTTACATTGCTTTTCCTGTCAGGAAATAGCACGGAAGTGACAGAAGCACCGCGTAAGTGAAAGGCCGTTCACTGTGGAATGAAGTAATACAAC